GCGAATTGGAACATTATAATAATATTTCTTAAAAATAATTTTTTTATGAAATGAACGAAGCCTTAAACTGCTCCATGGTTGATGTTAACCTTTTTTTTAACAAAAAAACATGAATCAACTATGTAATCAAATCGAATGTTATCAACACTTGCAGTTTCTATGTGACCCTTTTTGATAAAAAAAAAAATATTCAAATAACAAAACTAATTAAATCCTAATAATAACACTTTTAACAATATTATGGTAATATTAATGGAAAGATTGTTAAAGGATTGCTGCTATGAGGTGTGGTTTATTTTGGAGTTAATAATTTATCCTCACAATTCCTTTTTTTTTTTGAAAAATAACCTCTCAATAAAAAATTAAAAAACAAAGATAGATAGATCGTTAGATGCCACAGACCAATTTTTAGCTATAAAGCGTGTTAGATCATATCTCTAAGCACTAGCCCCTCAATCAAGAGTGTGAATTTGTGTTTTTTGATAACTAATATGGTTTTCCATGAACAAGGTCATCAATTGATGCAAGAATTATTGGAGTACATTATAATATAATATCCATCATAAGAGTTTAGTGGCTTCTTCTCATAATTTTATCCTTTAAAAATAAATGTCTCGGTATAGGAATGATACGCTCCGATTACAAGCCATAATCCAATCATTAATTATTAAAATTAATGACATGGAACCGTTTCAAACAGGTTAACAAAAACTCTTAACATCGTATACGCAATTCTCTTAGGGAAATTTTATTTTCAACCCAAAATTTGTTCTTCATACTCACTACTAAACACAACCAATTTTCAAAACCCTTTTTTACTCAAATTATTAAACCCAGCCAACCTGATATTACATTCCTTTTTACCTTTTAGCCCCACACAGCCAAAACACAAAACATAGCCTTTGAATCTGACAGAAATGCATATCCATCTGGTTTCAAATACGGATGGATATGCATATCCGTTAACATTTGAAACCAAACAAATGTCCATATCCGTTCATGTTTGAGATCAGATGGATAAGCATTTTCATTTGTTTTGAATGTTGTAAATTCTTAAATCAATTTTGCATATGAATGTTAAAAATGATGTGTTTAAATTTGACGAAAATGCATATATGATTCGAAACTCAAATAAATATACATATTTGTTAACATTTAAAAACAGACAAATATACATATCAGTCCATGTTTAAAATTAAACGAATAATCATATTTGTCTGTTTTCAAATGTTGACAGAGATTGATATCCGTCTAAAAAAAATGGAAGAACTAAAAAGGTCAATTGTGCAAAGTTAACAAGTCATTTAATGAAAGGGTATTTGTATAAAAAAAACTTGACACTTCTGGAGAGCAAAATTTTGGCTGCAATTAGAAACTCTCTTACTCCTATGGTAAGGCTAAATAAAGCTATGGAGAGTTGCATTCATGATCACGGCCATGTGCTATCATTAAACCTTTGGCCCTATAAACTTCGTCCCATCTCCGATGTTGACGTATCTTCATTCTTTCAATTAAATATTAAATTCTTATTCTATCTTAAATAAAATTAAACGATTAATAAATTAATTCCGCCAATGATTAATGATAAGAATTCATAATTCAATTTCAACACTTAAAAAATTACATCTAACAATCACTATTTTGGTCCCAACAATAAGTCAAAATTATAAGAAATTCATATTCTAATTAATGTGACCAAGTTCCAATTTTTTTCTTTCGTTATTATTATATGCTCAATAAAAAAATTATTCTTCATTTTTAATTATAATATAGTTTTATTACTTATGACCATTTTAATTTTCATATTATTAATTTTATTATTTAAAATTATATATGATATTACATTGCTGCAATTGTATTTATACTATTATTATGGACAAAATGAACAATACTTGAAATATTATTAAATTAATTACTATTTAAATCAATTCACTATTTGGATACACATAAGTTAGTTTCTTTGATAGGAACATAAATTATATTTTAAATCATATGCTAAAAAAATTCTAGATTTAAAATTTTTAATGTTACCTTTGAAGATTCAAATTAATTATTTAAGTGTTTTTCATATGTTTAAAAATATGAAAATAAATAATGAAGTTATTTATTTTGCTAAATTTCTCCTTTTCCCCTCCATTTCTACATTCTTCTTCTTTCTTAATTTATTTTTTCAACTCATTTTCCTTTTCCTAATCAGCAAGTGCATTTTTTACACTAGTATGATAAATTTGGGCTTTTACATGTGAGTAATTGGTCTATCTCTCTCTTTCCCCCTTTAACCTTGGCCAACTCCTAATGGTGCATTACCTTGTCCAAGATAACCCACAGGTGATTGTGCCACTTTACTGGATGTTGCCCCCCAAGTGTAATTAGGTTGAAGATTTAGAGGGATTTGTTGCCCTTCCACTTTATGCTTTGCTTGGTAGGAAAGACGAAAAAAAAAATGTGAGGATAAAAATTTTATTAATTTAAAGATTAAATTTTAGAATAATTTTTTTATTTTGTAACTTAATCATTAAATTAACAAATTTTTTTATTTTCTCTTTTTTTTGTCCTTCCAATCAAGTAAAGCCTTAAACTTGATTAGGCTGTTGATAGGCCTGGTTAACCTGTTCCGATGTCTGATTTTATCTTAAAATATTTCATTGTGTTCCTCCTAAGTGTGGTTGAACACCATCAACTTGGCTTGGTTGGTTACCTAAATTTATATTAGCTGTTGCCCTCAAGGCTTGGCTTGACTCTTGGGCCAAAGCCTTGGTTAATTTGGACTCATAATCCTTGACTTTGGTTTGCTCGGGTCCCTTGTCTTAAGTTTGCCGTTGCACCAAAACCCTAGAGTAGTTGATGCACTGAAGTTCCTGATTTTGACTTGATTCAGGACCAAGCCTTTAATTAGTGCATATCCCTTGACCTGAGTTTGGCTGAACTTTTATACATGGTTGCGGAACCACAAGTTGATTTGAGGACTAACTTTCTTGCCTTACCATTGAATTTTTAATTAATGTAGTAAAAGTTGGCCTAAAGTTGGTTAAACGACCCCACATGGTTGCGGAACTATAGATTGCTGGTTTGGCAAAATCTTTTATTATCTCATCTCTGGGTATCCATATTAATGCAACATATTCTGTCCTCCACCCAAGTCATTTTATCAAGCTATTAACTTGATATTCTTCAATCACTGCCTCCTAAGCCTCGAAGGTTTAAGTTCTGACTTGAACTTGGGATTTCACTAACGTGAGTTAGGTTCCACATGTCTCTCAACTTCAATATCCTAGCCCACCCTAGCCTATTTATAGTAGCTGGTTGGTAAAAATTGGCTTGATTTTCCATAGAAGATTGAGGTGGATGTAGTTGATTGGAAACGAAAAGATCTCTTAACTCCGATATCCTAAACATACCCTTTCGTCCTAAAGATTCATTACTTTGCCTAATTTCCCTCTCTATAGCAACAGGTTGGTGAACCTCGTTTACTTAGAAGGTTAAGGTTGATGTAGTTGGGAGGGATAGTGAGAGGGTGTCTGGTAGGTGAGTTACATTCCGATTGAGTATGTTCATGGCATCAAATAAGGTATGACTTTGCCTTTCAAACACAGTTTTCATGGAACCATTGATGTTATTGCATATCGATATTGATGCAATACCCTCAGCAAGGCAATGAGAATTTCCCCTCACCATCTCACTTTTCGACTGACGCTACTTATCAGCAAACAGATTCATTATTCGTGCCATTATCTTCGAAAATTGCCCCACCAAATGTGCCAATTTGTTGGTTGATTTTTTAGGAAGACCCTATGCCGATCTAACTACTCACGCGATCAAACGGCTCTCACCCTTGATACTTTCAGCAAGAGTGGGAATAGAAAACACAAAGAAGGAAGCTTGAAATTTTGATTATGTTAAAACTACTCCTATGTGCATGAAAGGGAAAGATAGTGTACAAAAAGGTAAGACAAAGTGCTAAAAATGTAAAGCAAATGCGCTTGAAATATTAAGATAAATGTAATTGCATTATGTTTGTAATTTCTGGAACCTTATGTGTTTCTTTGTAACTCATATTTATACATGAAAGAAGAAACGGTTGAATGCAAAGCGGAGTAGATTTATTGGGGGCGTAGAGAGATTACAGATTTATTCACCTATGATTTTTCACTCATGTGCTTTTGCATTCAGGATGGTAATATTTCAATTTATAGTCATTATGTTTGTCATAAACATGCTAATGGCTTTCTTTTTTCTTTTTTCTTTTTCCTTTTTTTTCATTTCTATTTTATGACGTAGGCAGCTAAAACCCATTGCTTATATCTCATCAAATTCTTGGACCAAGTATGGCTCCAAGTAGGTGAGAAAATGGGACGTACCAACGAAGTGAAAGTCCTTTACTTTAACAACAATATTCAATATTGTAATTTAGCCATAAAATGTTGAACTTTTAATTTCAATAAAAAGATATTTATCTTAGACATCTTCTAATATCCAAGAAAGAATATCTTATAGTCTAATAATTTCTACAATGATTGCCTATCTATCATCAACTTTTCCAACAATTTCATAGGATCAAACAACTCCTTACATTGATATATTTAACGATAATATCATGAATAACTCTTAAAACTATAAAATTATAATGAAAATTTTAATTTGATACTTAAACTTTGAAATTTTTTAATATGTTAACTAATATAATACCTAGCTTTAATATAACTAATTTCAAATTATGATATATAACGTATAAACAATCATCTAAATATCACATTAATTAACAAATTCATAATTTATTTATCAAATTAAAAAAATTTTTAATTCAAGTATAGATTAAATATTTCTTCATAATTTGAAAGTAATTCAAAACATTAACCCACATTCCTAATAAAAAGAAATTGTGTTTCATCTAACTAATCATCTAAATATCACGTTAATTAATAAATTCATAATTTATTTATCAAATTAAAAATTTTTAAATTCAAGTATACATTAAATATTTCTTCATAATTTGAAAGTCATTCAAAACATTAGCCCACATTCCTAATAAAAAGAAATTGTGTTTCATCTAACTAATCATCTCCATATAAAAGTAATCCTTTTAATATATTATTTTTACAATTAAAGCTAGGAAATTTATAAAATGTGGACCCTTATAACAATGAATAAATTATAGAAACGAAGTTTTGCATCACATTAAGACACATATTGACTCAAAGCCTGTAATTTCTCCCCTGTTGAAAAACATATTAAAGAAAAACAAAAAGACTCAGACTGAGGTAACTGGAAGGCCCAAGAACCTTTTATGAAGGCTTCCACAAATGCATGTGTAGAACAGCCTTTCCAAGTTTCTTCCAAAGGGAGATTTGGTCAGCAAAAACATGAATAAGCCAAGTGGTTCTTCTTGGCAACATACGGCGAGAGGTAGCTGGTGACTGGTGCAGATGTACCAGGAATATCAGCTGGAACAAGGATTTGAGGCTTCCCTGAAGCTATTCTTTTTCCAGCTACATTGGCATAAAACAGGCCAGAGATGGCTGGAACAAAAACGTCACTCTGAGAACATATGTAGAAGTCTATAACCTTTTCAAATTCTGAATCTTCTGATTCAAGGAACTTCCCCTTTTTCTCCTCTGGCATTATGCTTTCCTACAATAGTTCCAATAGCAATCAAGGGTTCAGATTGATAGGAGCAGCAATAGAAGATTAATGTTATCTGGCAATGGATTCTAGAGAAAACTTTTGAAGTTCAAGTTGGATAGTCAAAATTTAGATGTCAGGAAACCCTTGCAAGCAAGAACCCCCCAGTATTGCTTGAGTTTAAAATTGCTTTTCAAGGAAACTGAACATAAGACACGCCGAGACCTATTTACCACCAGAATAAGCCCATCAGAGTTCATTGTCGAAATCAAAGCATTGCACATAATGAATGTTTCAAGAAGCAAATTGAATATATAAATTGGTGGAACCATTATCAGACCAAAGAAGAATTTACTCACCTTTGTGTAAGTTTTAGGGAAGATATCCTTCAGGACACTAAGGCTGTCATCCCACCTTGATTGAGTCAGGTATATGGTGGTATCTGTATCAAATCCAACCTTCCTCAAAAATAAAGCAATCTCCTGTGCATTATAACAACTTTTTGCTCCAGTAGAACCACTTCCATGACAATTCTTATTCTCTAGTATCTCAACCCTCAAGTCCACTGCTATAAACAGGCCATTTGATTTGCGACTCAAAGTTCTAAGCCGTTCAATCATTGAATCAACAACTTCATTAACCTCGGGTTGCAACTCTAAAGTTCCAAACATTCCCAAACAAGCAACTGAATCAACACTACTCTTTTGTGCAGTTTTTCTCATATTTACAGCAGGGAAGTAGGTTGCAAGCCTTATGTTGCCCTTTGATTTAAATATTGGTTCTACATTTCCCACAATGTGATCTTCAGTGACCCGATTGGGAACCTTCACAGCAGCAAGATTCCGGATTGATATTTCATTGGGCAATTCTTTTGCTACTTTGACAACCCCATCCAGGCTTTTCATGAATTTCTCAACATCATAAATATCTTCAAAGTTTCTGAAGATTTTCAAGTATCTTAGTACCATTCAAAATTTTCACTTAGATTAACTCAAAGTTATGCTACTCAATATTCTTCATTGGATAACAAAAAAACAAAATAAAAATTTTACTATTAGGGAAGATTGAAGGAAAAGGAGAAAAGAGAATAAGAGATCTTCAAATTTAACCAGAGCATTAACCTTTCATCACCAGGTTTGCTTCCTCTAATGTCAGGAAGTACAAGAGTTGCCGCTAGATACCTTGCTACTACTACAGCATCAGCTATCTGAAGAGGCAATCACCACAGAATGAATAATAGATTAGGTGGAAAAGAAGCTAATAGATTCAATAAATTACTTTTCATAAACTGCTGGCACTTTGTGCCATTAAATTCTGTGTAAAATAATCAACTTAGAGTTCCAGATTGAATAAAGACAACCAAACTTTGGGGAAATTTAAGACAAATGGGAACAGAATGTGTGCAATTAATTGTTAAGCTCATCAAGGCAGTGTGCTAATTGAAGAAAATCTCCTTGAGGCACTATTTTTCGGGTAAAATGTACATAGCTGAAAATTCGAAGGACGCAATGGAAAGGGAGCTTTAATATGCATTAAACACAGGTTCTTTATGAGAGAACAAAGATGAAAAAGCAACAATAAAGCTATCTTACTTAGATAACTTTATAACTAAAACAGATAATACATATACCTGAGAGACATGGTACTCTGGACCATTAGTCAAAGAGAAAGTAACATAACCTCTTGACTGCTCCATCTCATCTGTTAGCCAAGTAAGAACTCATCAATTACAGAGAAGCTTTCACATAAATTTGTGTCTGTGAGTGCACAATAATGAATGCAGACGTCTGCACTAGATACATGTATAGACAAATTTATAGAAAACTTGGTGTCATTTGTCAAGAAGTTAGGTGAAGTTATCAAACCAAAAGCCGTCCTGCTCCAACATGGTTTTAGCTCTTGACTATCCTCCATCCAAGGACCTTTGCTCCTCTTAGAAAGCTTTACAAGGCCATCCTTCTCGATAACAATCGCACTATCAAGTTGAGCATCCTGAGCTTCTCCAGGAAGTTTTTCCTACATAACCAGGGCAGGAATAACACCATTTGAATTCAGAGTAAATAGATCAAAGCTGTATAAGGAATTGAAATGAAGTCAAAAAAAGCTTTCAGACATTTTGAATCACTATAAATAAAATAACAAAAAAAAGGCATCAATAGAACTTCAAAAAAAAAAAAATCTACAATTTCCTATAGTTGGCTATAGAGGCTTGAGAAAATGAAAGAAGGCCTAGGATGGAAATTATAAATCTGACAGAAGCAAAAACCTCCACTCATCTGAACTTGGAATCCTGAAATAACTATTGAACTCTCCTGACTAAAGTTGACTTCAAATGGGTCTTCTTTTATTCCCTATTCAATCTATTTTCCAAGAAACTTCACCTGGAAAATAAATCGGTGTAATGTTTTCAAAAATAAGAAGTTTCAACTTAAACCATGGTTACTTCTTCATGAAATTAACAATTATTGATGAGAAAATCCTAACCAAAATTATCCACAAACAACCAAACAACTACCAAAGACAACAATTTTGAAGATCTTGGTCAGAATAACATTCTTCTTTTCTCAAAGCTGCAGATTTGAAGCCAAATGAAGCTCAACAACAAAGATATGATAATTACAGATAAAGTGAAAACTAAACCGAAGCAACTTGGTTCAGATTTTCTTCCACAAAATGAGAATCAGAGATTCACAAAACCAAAAAACAACTAAACAAATAAAACAATGTTATGAAAAGTAGAGTTAAATTGGGGAGTGGGTTTAGTATAAAAAATCAATCTTTTGAAAACATAGATTAAAAAATGTGAAAAACTTGAGACAGATCAAAAAAGAAGAATGTAAAGAAAGAAAGAGGCAATTACTTGAAGAGAATCAAAGTGGTCTCTTTTGATCATTTGACCAAGCATCACAAACATGGTGAGTGTGAGGATACCAGCCACTACTTGCCTCAAATCAACTCCCATTTTTAGACCTAAAGAAAGAAGAGGTTTGTTTGTTTTAAGAAAGAAGCTGAAACAGCGAGTTTAGTTTAACAAGAAAGAGAGAGGGGAAATGATAAAACAATAAAGCTATGTTATTTGTGCAGTATTGTTAGACTTGATCCTTTTGGGGTCTCTTACAGCACCGACACTTCGCCCAGTGAATATGATGTGCTGCCTGTTTCTTACAACAACATATTTTTGTCTCCCTGTTTTAGCCTTTTCTCACCTTTTTTTTTTTTTTTAATTTTCTTTTTGGACAACTGGATTTTTGTTTTAGGTTAACTTTCAATTTTTTGGGGATGGGTTTGAATAAATAATGTTAAAAACTTAAAATGCCAAATCCCACCTCCTCAAAAATTTCCATGCCCATTGGAATTGATGTCTATTGGTCCAGAAAAAATTTAATGATTAACTAATATTAGCATCTTTTTTAAAAATATATAAAATTTTAAATTACATAATAAATTAATAAAAAATAATCCTTCAATAAATCAATAACAAATGAAGCTGGACGATTTTAAAATGGCATTGTCTTATATAATTTTGTGTATTTAAAATTTTGCCGTTGAAATAATTTTCAATAATTAAACTTTAATTGATAAAGAAAAAAATATTCATTTGTTTCCTGATGGATATCTTATGTTGAAAATACATATACGACTTAACTTAATTAATTTAATTTAATTATTTTTAAAAAATAATATTTAATATATTTAAATTTTAAATCACAATGTCTTTAATTTCTTTAAAAAAATAAAATAAAAATCATCTCATTTCCTTTTTAATTTCTTTTAAAATTTAAAGAAAAGCTTAATTTCATCTTAATTAAAGCAATTCCCTTCCATTTGTTTCTTTGATGTTATATTTTTATGATTTATACCAATCCCAACAGAATCTAAAAAAGTAAAAAAGTGTATTTGTTTGCGTTTTAACGTTGCGAAGAGTTTGACGGTACCTTCAATAAAAAAAAAAATGATATTGACAAACCAAACAAGCTTTCCTGTCCATACTTAGGCAAACTTGGCAGCGGCACCCCTTCTTTTTATTATTATTATTATTATTATTATTATTATTATTATTATTAATTTGTAGTTAAAAAGGGTTAATAAATGTTGTGTTTCTAAATTTAGCATGTTATGATTTGGTTAATAAATTATAACAGCTATATTTTCAGTTTAACTGTAATTCTACGTAAAATTATAAGATGAACCTTCATCAATCATAAAGCATAATCATTGTTAAAATAAAACCAACTTAAAGTGGACTCAACAATTCTTACATTTCTTTTTCAGAGTAGAAGGTTAGAATTCTATACAAAAATAATGTTGTAGAATTTTTTTAAAAAATATTGATGTTTGTAAGTGTTAAATTTTATACACAAATTGAATTACGATTCATTTAACTATTTTAAAATTTAGTAGGTTTAAAATTCGAATTTCAACTCTTATAATTATATCTTTGTCTTCATGTTAGAATATCTTTTATACAAAAAAAAAAAAATTATACCTCCTTTATGGGTTAGTTTTTCTAAAAATTATATATTTATAAATATTAATCTGAAATTGAATAGTATTTGAAAAAAAGATAATAATATTATTATTTATTCAAATAATAACAAAATAAGATAATTATTTAAAATATTAATTTTTAAAAATTAAAAATAATAATATTTAACTTATTCGATTAATAATTTTATATATTTTTTATTCTTACTAATTTGATAATTAATGCACAAAATTAAAAATTAAATAGGCAAAAAATTGATTAGACAACATCTAAATTATTATTTAGTTTAACCCAAATTTACTAAGCCCAAGATAGATTCGTATTCAACCTTCACTAACACTTTTCCTTTCTCACCTCATATCCTTTTCTATACTTTTTCATCTCCCAATTCAAAGAATTCTTTTTTAACTTTTTGAATAGTGGTTTTTTAAAAAAATAAAAATGCTTCTCATTTTGTGTTATTGTTCTACAATTTTGGAAATATTTTTTTATTTTTTGAGTTTTCTCATTTTATTATATAATTTATCCTTTTTTTAGTCTTTTACATTATTTGCAATTATTGGGTTCTTGAAATTTTTGTAAATTTTAATTAATTATAGATTTTTTTTTAAAAGGGTGAATCAAATTTTGATTTTAATTTTTTTGGGTAGGTGGTATTTGAATTTTGGTACTATTTGATTTGAAGTTTTGCAAACCAAATATTTTGGATATTTGGTTTGATTTTCCAAAAATTTTAGTATTTGTGGATAATTGGTTTAATTCTTTGAAAAAAAATTTATTTGAATTTCGTACTTTCTCTCTTTATTTTTCATGTCTTTTTTATATGTATGTATGTATGTATGTATGTATGTATATATTTATTTATTTATTTTAATTTTTATTTTACAGGACCACTAAGCTTAGCTCAAATGGCATGAGATCTATTGCACATAAGTGGCCACGGCTCAAGGCCTAATGTTATTTTTCGTAAGTACGAATGGTAAGTAAATGAGTTAGGGGTTTTAAGACTAGATTAAAAAATTAAAAAAATTAAAGAAAAAGATAAAAGTAATAGTTGTATTTTAAAAAAAAAATGGAAAAATTTGTGAACATTTGGTTTAATTCTTTGCAATTTTTGTAATTTTTCATTTTCACTCTCTCCACTCTTTAAATCGTTATTTATTTTTTTAACTTAAAAAATAAAAAATAGTATTTAAAACTAGAAAAAAAAACCGCCCAAATTATAATGTAAGAGCAATCACATTTCAACCGCATGTAAGCTTAAAAAGCTATCATGTGATAGACAGTTACTAAAGTTGTTAATCTGGTTTTCATACAGGCTCTATTGACTGGCATATATGCTCCGATTATAGAAAAACATGATACACTTAAAAGGTGCTTTTTTGTTCTAGTTTAGTACCGAATAATATCAATTATTTTTATTAATTTCAATTGATTACAGTGAATTTTTAATAAAATTTTATTTTAAATGGTACGTGAATATGAAATATGTTTTGTAATTTATGATTTAGTTTTTATTTTTTTTACTGCTTTTAACTTCATAAAAAAAACTAAAAGATAAAATCAACAACTTTTAAATCATGTCTATCCAATTTTTTACTGCAACTCTTGTTTTCATTTACACTTTGATTTTCAAAATTAATGATCCATATCTATTTCAAATCTTGTCTCAAGTGAGATGGGTACTGCCATCAAACAGTCCTGTTTGTTCAATTTGAGTAATAAGCTTCATCTTTCCTCGATTGAAGCCCTTTTAAATTTCTTCCTTCAAGGAGAGTATATTATTATATTATACTTGAAATACTTCAAATTAATTTTCTCATTATAGATATCTTATTTCGTTTAGGCCCAAATCAAACCAATCTGAAACTATTAAGATTCAGGCCTGATCAAGGTTAATTATCCATTTTTTCATATTTTGGACTATAACTTTATAATAACTTTATGTTTTTATTTTAATTTTACTTATCTACATATATATATATATATGTATTTATCTTATTTGTTTAGTTAATTTGTCTTTTTAGTTTGTTTTTATCTAGTTAAATGTTCATTAATGATTATCTGTAATTTTAATTTCAATTATTATTATTATTATTATTATTATTATTATTATTGGTTTTATCTGGTTAGTTTAAAAAAAGAAAGATAATTAAAAAAAAAAAAAAGAAATCATAAATGACTAAAATTATGATTGGAGGATTGACCAGTAATGAATTTGGAAATTAAAGTGATAATTCATAATTTTCAAATTTAGATAGAAGTCTTTTGTTGATAAAACTCAATATGGTGAAGAATCCAACCTTAAATGGAATACTAGTTGGATCTAGATTTAGCCCTCATAAAAGGATTGAAATCAACATAAATTATGGACAAAAAAAAATTAGAGAGAAAATAGCTAAAGCATTCACACGAAATGTAAATCAATTTTAGGCAGTAAAGGTTTTTTTTTTTTTTTTTTGGAAGAGATTGGTCCTTTTGGATAATTTAATTTACTTTGGAGTTTGACTCAATCTAATCTTGAAGAATTTTGTGATCTAGTAAGCTTAGAAGAATTGAATTAGAGTTTTTTTGGAATTTTCTAAAAAGTCTTGGAAATTTTTTGGAAAATTTTGAATGGTGATGAGGAATTTGGTTACAAGGTATAAGATCCAGTAAAGAAAAAGACAGTCAGAAGTAGAGATGTGGTTTTTTATGAAAAAAAAAATCATAGCAGACCTTGAAAAAAATGAAAAGACTACACGGGTTACTATTGAGTGTGATGGTTCAACACCGATAGGGATTCCACAGGAAAGAGCCACAGATGGTGGAAATGAGCAAGAAACAGAACTTGAGAATTTGAATGAGCCAGCCACAGTTGGTGATGAGCCAGACGCAATTAGTTTTCAGCAGGGGAAGCAATCCTCTCTACCTGAGAGTGTTGAACAGGGGGAGCTATCTTTGGCATCAAGTGATGTAGAGTCTCAGCCCAAGAGATTTACTAGAGAGTGCAAGCCATCTATCAGGTATCCAAGTTCAGATTTTATTTTAGTTACCAGTGAAGGGGAGCTAGAAAGCTTCTAAAATGTGGTAGGCTACTCCGGGATAGAGAAGCACTGGTAAAAGCAATGAAAGAAGATGATGGAGTCATTACAAAGAATGGGTACTTATGATCTTGTTAAACTTTCAACAGGGAGAGGTCATTAAAAGAATAATGAGTGTTCAAGTTGAAAAAGGATGGTAACAAACTAGGATGTTACAAAGCTCGATTGAGTTAGTAAAAGGTTTTTCTCAAGAAACCAAGCATCGATTTTGATGAGATTTTTGCTCCAATTGTAAATACGAGTTCTATTCAAGTGGTACTGGGATTAGCAGCTAGTTTGAATCTTGAGCTTGAGCAACTTGATGTTAAAACTGTATTTTTGCATGGTGATTTACAGGAGGACATTTATATTAATTAGCATGAAGGTTTTAAAGTGAAAGAGAAAGAGCACTTAGTTTACAAATTGAAGAAAAGCTTGTATGGCTTGAAAAAAGCTCTGCAACAGTGGTACAAGAAGTTTGATTCTTTTATGGTGAGTCATAGCTATAAAAGAACAGCAGCGGATTCTTGTGTGTATGTTAAATAATTTCCTAATGGTAACTTCATTATCCTATTATTATATGTCG